TGTCTGTCTGTCTGTCTGTCTGTCTGTCTGTCTGTCTGTCTGTTATGCATGTATGTATGCATGTATGTATGCATGTATGCATGCATGTATGCATGTATGCATGTATGCATGTATGCATGTATGTATGTAACATACTGTATGTCTGTATGTACGCACGCACGTATGTTTGTACAGCTCAGTTTCCTCAGTCGCTTTTGTTTGGAGCGAAGACAGTGACGGAAGAAACGCCAAGAAGAGCAAAATAAGAAATTGGCACGCCGAGGTCCGGATTGGTCTCGTTTTCTTACGTTCAATTTGCGTGTTTTGTTTCCCTATCGCGGCTGCCCCGAGGCGCAATTCCTTAAACCGATGCTTTCTCCAGCAGTGCTGTCGCTGTACCATGCTGTACCAGCGAAAGCAGACATTGACTGCATCATGCATCTACACCACGACCGCCTGCGCGTCCCAAGGCTCTCCGGCTCGAGTTTCCAGGCCTTCGGGGGCCAGGGACAACGCCTGGGCCGCTGGGCTTCAAAGAAGGGGCCCGGATCCTTTCAAAGCAACCCCACAGGATCTCCGATACGTCAAGCGGAGTTTGTCAGAATGACACGTCGTGCTCCACAAACGTTGTGCAGGCTGCTTGAAGTGTTGCTCGGAAGTTGTGCTGGGAAGTTGTGGGTATTTACACTTGAGGAGTTATGCTGTCATGTCTCTCAGCGCCGTCAGTCGCGGGTGGGCTTCGTTCTGCGCAAGTAAGCCCTTCGACTGCATGCGTCCGTGACTGCCCCTCCTTTGCCTCAAAACCCCAAAACCCCAAAACCCCTGGACCCTACGCCGAGGTGCAGCCTGAACGGACAATCGCGCGCCCGTGTGGGCAGCGGCACTTCATGAGTTCCTGTGATCCTGGCGCTGAAACTGGAGCGCACCTGCGTAAAAGGAGGTGCCCCGAGCGCGGGCCAGGTAGAAGCTGTCGTCTTCTATCAGGATCTGTCGCACAGGATGCACAACAGGCGAACTCCGAATAACTACAAACATCTCATCCTCAAGCAGCCCGTGAAATCCAACATCCCATCCGCCTTAACTCTCGCACCACAGTCTTCCTCCACCGTCCTCCGTCTGCGCCATCTCCAGCGGCTCAAGACCAGACAAAAAGAGTTCCGGCCGCCGCGAGAGAACTCAGCCCAGGCGCCGGTCGGTAGACATGGGGGTCGTGTGGGCGGTGGGGTGGGGGATTAAGTATTAGGTTATTAGGGCTTGGGGTTTTGGGTTCAGGTTCGAGGGGTTTTGGGGTACAAGGTTTGTTTTATCGGATTCTGGAAGGTTTTTGCTGGCAAGGCTCAGGGGTTTGGGGTAGCCTGGGGTCACTTCAGGTCACTGTTCCAAGGTCTTTGGGCTTCATGGGTTCCAGGCTGGGCTGGGGGGGGGTTGGGGGCTGTGGGCTCAGGCGTAGGTGGTTTCGAGGCCCCCAAAGCGGCAAACGAAGAGAAGGATCTCGCATGTCGCGAGCCCTGAAGGTTCTACTGCCCTATACTTTGCCGCTTCTTGGACCTGTGTTCCCCCACAGCCCCAAACCCCAAACCCCAAAC